TGTGTGTGTGTGTGTGTGTGTAGTGTGTCGATGTGTGTGTTGTGTGTGTGTGTGTGTGTGTGTGTGTTTGTTTGGCTTGTATACACACTGATATGCATACGCGTGAAAATAGAAGTATATACCGATATGGGTGTATTTGCATGTAGATCCTATTGCTTTTGTATTTCACAGTTGTGCGAGCTATATAACTTGGGGACTGATTTCTTCAAGATAAAAAAGAGAGTGAACAATGGGTTGCCCAATAATCATGACAAAGGTGTGACGAATTAAGGGCGATCGCATCACGAGGAGACTAAAATTTAAGCAAACAGCCATGAGGCTGCATGTTAGAGAAATACACAGCGCTACATTTACAGTCACATCCCCTCTCACATCATCAACGACATGACAACTAAGGCATACACAAATACACACGTAACAGAAACCCGACTATTGGGTGGCGAGAACCAATTTCCTCATATTCTCAGAGAATTGATGATGCCAATGAATAATTTCGGGTAGCGTGTTCTCGCTTATTTGCACTGGTATACAAGTTGACAAATCGTTCGGTCGAGTCATTCTGCATATTTGCACTTAGCACACATGAGTAGCAGAAGACAATAGTCGAATGATCGTGTCAGTGATTAAACAACCCAAAATCAGCAAACAGACCACCTATTAGCGTGTTTCTACTCGTTTTTACTCCTAAACACTTACACATACCACAGAACAAGATATAATCGGAAGATCCGTTAGTAGACGTCTACTTGTTTTGACGGATGAACACACAATCACACCTACCACAGAATAAATGTTTAGTCAACGTACCTGCGATGATACAAACACATACCCGTAAACAAACTGTTCGGTAGCGTATTTCTGGCTTCTTGCACGCGTTGGACTAGTAGTGGAGATAGATAGCTCTCCTTGCTGTTGCCCCCCTTCACCTTCGGCAGCAATTGACTCATGGGACATCCCTTCACGGCCTGCAAAGTATTTGAATATTGACGTCTACATATAAAATA